TCTGTATTTAAGTAAGAACTATACGTTAAAGATCAAATTGGCTTAAAAACTTTCTACAATGTCATTCACTAATGAGACGGCTAGGTAGTCATACCAAAATAAATTTTATGGCTCATGGGTTAAAGATTCAGTTTGTTTAAAAGTTTTCCCCACATTTTTGTGCTGAGAACAAAAAGGTCGACAAAGTCGGCTTGGGGGGTCAGGTATCTTGCGTATATGACTGTACATGTACAGAACCCTAAAAGGAAAGATATAAAAAGTTAAGAAAACGTAGCCAGTACCTACACTACTGCTGGTCTATCGTGTTTCACGGCGATTTTATAACTCCATCAAGCGTAAACTATTCGTAAAACAGCGTTCACAAATTGACGATAATGTACGAGGAGAAAATAGGCTCGCAAACCCTTGGGATATACAGGCCCACCTCAAAACTTAGTTGGGGAACAGTAAATTATTCTACTGCCGGCGGGACTTGGGGATTTGGAAGAATAACAGAAGAACGTAGCGCTCGACAAGTAATCGATTGACTTTCCGAGTTTGTTGACTCTTTAAAAAACAATAAGTACAAGCAAACAATTTTATGTCGTTCATTTTATTAAGTACGTATATTTACCAAAATATTGCTTTTACGACATGCTTTAAGATTGCTTACATAACGATTATGAAACATTGAGAATTTTATTGCTGTAATACACGTAAATATTATAAATACAACGCTGTTTCAAAGTGAGAGTTTCTATAAATGAGAATAATATTTTTCAACTACTTATTCAAACTAATGTATATGCTTAGAATAATAACGCATAGAAAGCTAGCCCGCACACGCTAAGTGAGGCAAATTGTAGGACGCCCTATGGGCTTACACGAGCGAGCGGGCTGTCAGTGCTCATGGTCAAGTTGCACCGCGAGCAGCTCAAAAATTTTTGCTAAAAATGACGAAATGTGCGGTAATTGGGTTTTAAAATAGATCAGACAAATATAAAATAGACACTAACATCACATTCCACAAGGAAGTAACGCGTTTCAACTTGTATTTTTATGTAAATATTCACTAAAACAGAAAATTAATTTCGTTGCAACAAGATACGAAAATGTTGCAAAGTAACGGGTTTTTTCTCTCCATTTTGCTATTCTGTTTCAAAATAATTATATTACGTAATTTTTTGAGAATAGGCAATATCGCGACGGTTGCAAAATTTCTACAAATGTACACCGCCGCAACAACATTGTAGGGAATTTACGTTAGCTATTTTTACGAAATATATTTAGTATTTGCCTTCATTAGTTTCATGTGAAAAATCATTATTCTTGTTCGTCATACACTCACTTAAAAAAGTTCTTAACTAAAATTATTTCAGGAAACTAACACTGACTAAAAAGTCATCGTCAGTTCTCCAAAATAGTGTATAAACAACTTTCAGGTTCAGGTTCTTAATTGTTATCGTGTACTTTTCATATAAACATACCCACAGATAATATCAGGCTATTTATATATTCAAATTCGATAGTCGCACTTAAACTCGCTTGTAGGTTTTTGTTCATATATGAGTTAAATAAGAATTGGGTAGTATTTAATAAGGTGCCTACAGATTTGCTCGACACTGTCGATCGATAGTAACGATTGAGAATTATAGACATTTTCGAGGAGTTTTAGAGTGCTTATTATGAATGTAGCATTAATTTCTAAATCCAAGATTGTTGACAACAATTTTCAAAAATGTATTTTTGGTAAACCATAAGGAAATGGCATGTATATCTGAATACAAGATGCGGGACAAGACTTCTAATTCTTCTTCTTCTAATTCTTTGCCATCTTGAATTTCGAAATATGTGCTGTATTCGGAATGAGCAGCCCCTAATACTTTGAAAACGACACCCAGCTTGCCATTATTCGAAAAAACGTGCCCGCCATCTTGGATTTAGAAATAAGTGCTATTATTCCTAACGAGCACCCCCAAATACCTCGAAAACGATCCCCAACTTGCCATTATATGAAAAATCGTGCCCGCCATCTTGGATTTAGAAATGAGTGCCATATTCATAATGAGCACCCCCAAATACCTCGAAAATGATACCCATATTGCATTTATTTGAAAAGGCGTGTCCGCCATCTTGGATTTAGAAATAAATGCCATATTCGTGATGAGCACCTCGAATACCTCGAAAACGATTCCCATATTGCATTTATTCGAAAAGTCGTGTCCGCCATCTTGGATTTAGAAATGAGAAAAGTCGTGTCCGCCTTCGTGTATTCAGATATAAATGCCATTTCCATAAGGACTACCAAAAATAAATTTTTGAAAATTCCTGTCACTTGATGTTGTCGATCAACAGTACTTAATGATCGACAAAATCGAGCATATCTGTAGGCACCTGATCGACAGTAACGATCGACAAAATCGAGCAAAGGCACCTCTAACTTAACGATGAGTTAAGCAAGATACAATTTCCCCACTTTTGAGGGAAATGTTATTCCATGGCATCATTATTTGTATATTTGTGTGCGTGCCGACGAGCGTAAATACAAGTTGCTTAGGCCTACATGAATTTGATTTTTGCCTCACTTGTGACAGTTCGTTTTTTATGAAACTATCATTCTATGCGTTATTATTCTAAGTGTATATGGTCGTGATTCAAACGAGATTCAGTCGCAGTTATGGTCGCAGCCTACCAACCAACTTTTGCATATATTGAGCCTCTGTGGCGCCGTAAACGCGCATTCGTCAAAGCGCATCGTCCGAGCGTAAAAAATATGCCGTGTGCATAGACGCTAATGAGCTTAGACAATGGAAAAAAGCTAATGAGTGAGATAATCAGCATTGTTTATATAAGTCTGAACGTGGAAGAAGTTGTATCACAGACCAAATAAAGTATAAAAAATGTTAGTTATATTTCTATACACAACAACGAAGTCTTTATTACATAAGTAACATCTTCTTGCAAGAAGTATATTTATAAGTATTCAAATAAAAGAATAATTTGTCAATGTATGAAGCTTCAACGTCTGTTATTTTTTACTGTTTGATTAGTTATTGCTCTTTATTAATTACCTATCCAGGAATCCCTAAGAAAATAGGATAAACTACAGAGTCGCAAAGACAAAAAAGATCACGTGAATCTTACTAATTCATGCTATAGAAAACTAACGACAGAATAAGATTTATTATTGGAAGGGAACTTGAAGCCTCCACTACCTTCAAAATGTCTTTCATGTTCAGAAGCGATCATATGACGTATTGTAACATATATGTGCAAGTGGAAGCCGCTTATGAGACTGTCGCGCAACTCGGAGAAATGTCTTGTGTCCAATTTCTTGATGTAAGCTATTACAGGGTGTATATATTATATTTTGAAAGCAGTAGAGCTCCTTGTAAAATATTTCGTCCAGGGAAGTACTGCCACCTTACCTATTTCTGCTAAGAAAATTTCCGCTAAGCGGTAACGTGAACATTATTGTGTTTCGGTTTGGAAGGATAAGGGTGCTAGTGAAATTACAGGCACATGGTACTTGTCAACTTATGCCATATGATGACGGGCGCAATGGCAGTACCCCTAAGTTCTTTGCGATTTAAAGGTCTGAGTGGCACTGCAACTGTTATGGATAGGCGTGTCGCTCACCACTAGGCACACTACGGCGTATTCCCATCTGATCCCCTGAAACCGATTCCTGGGGGATCCGTTTCATATTAAGTTATTTTCTGTTCCCATCGGATCCCCAATGCAGGGGATCAAGAATAGGTTTTAATATTTTATTCTCACCTGATACCCTGGAATTACAAGTTTACTTTTGGTAGGTACTGTGGTACAGTCAACAAGAAAATGTATTTGAGTGTTGTACTGTATGTTATTTACTTTATTAGAAATGAACAACATTAACTATACTTTAATGGTCAAGGTCTATAAGCTTTTATTTTCTTAAAAAATACGAAAAAGACAATTGGAGCAAAAAATATCACGTGGTGCACATTGGTCGTTTTTGGTACTTGTGATTTGCAATATAGCCATAATAATATCTTAAATTACAAAAAAAAAATTGATTGTCTGTGATAATTATAACATTTGATCGCAATTGCTCAATAATTGATATTTGTTGTTTTGTTTTTAAAATTTTTGCTTGACCTTATAAATACAATGTGGGGATCAGTTACAATTTCAAATTGGCGGTGGATCAGTTTTGGGGATCAGATGGGAATAATCCCACACGACTTGTTCGTCCCGTCACTTGGTATTATAAAAAAGAATATACTATTTACAGTTGCAGATAACAAAAGAAAATAATTTGATAATATAAATTTCAGTTCGAGAAGAAATATTATTTCTCCCGTTACAAATGCCTTTAGACCGCGAACGTATTCGTATATATCATAGCATCCTGTTTGTATATATTAAGCTTCTTAAACGATTTAGATCTGCTACGAGTATTTAAGTTTACAGTGACATAAAGGAGAGGATTTTGTAGTCTACTTTCAGGTTGTGTTCCTGGCAATATTTTATATTAAGAAGTAATGTTTTTGAATTATGTACATCTATAATCCATCATATAGCATGTTTCGTTAGAAAACCTTTACGTTAATTGAACATCATCGTCATCATCAACTCGTTTATAGGTCCCACTGGCTGGGCACTGTTCTCCGCATAGTTTGGTGAGGTATATCCGAATTCGTATTTCGAATACAGTTTACGGTTTTATTCAGTATTTAAAAAAAATCATAGTTTTTTTTGCTTTTATGCTATTCTTTACATCAGCTTAGCTAAAATATATTGATGCACAGCTAAAAGTAAAGGTATGTATATCCATCCACATGCTACGTTTACATTATTTTTGCTTAATGGCCAAGAGTAAATCCCCTTCAAATTCCTCTGTAGGGTACCTCTGCATACGTTTTCACTCTAGTCTATACCTGCACTAAATTCAAGTACTTACGTCTTAAACCAATGTTTAAATTGATGCGACATTTTTTACGCAATGAAATAAGATTGTCTTTTGCATTGCAAGCATTTGTTTAAGACATACTTAAGTTTAATGCAGGTGGACATAATTTTCATTAATTTAGGCATCACCAGAATTGAATGCCTTCCAAAGGAGATACGTATCTGAGCTATGTCGCTGCGCGGAGTTGGAACGCAAACTTGGCATCATTCATAACGAAATGGTCAAAGACGACATCTATATACCAAAATTTATAGGTGATGAACCGAGTGCTATGCCACCAAAAGAAATAAACACTTACGAGGTAATCACATTACATCAAAATGGAGTAATAGATTGTAGTTGGAGATTGAAACAAATTGTCATAATTAGTAACTCGATATTAATATTATACCGTGTAATATAAACAAATAGTATCATAACCTAGTCATTTTTTTTTAACATTTTCTATTTTTTCTATTTTAAGAACATGATAGAGAAATGGGAAAATGATATCCAGTTGATGGCTGGCTATCAAACCATGTTGCTGAAGAACCATCAGGATCTGGCAGAAATGCACTATGTGTTGACATTAGTGGGTCCAATTCTCGGCGATGTGGAGTTTAGGAGGGAGAGCCTCTTTGGTAACAAGGGGTAGGTAGCCAAATTATAAATGTTGATAAATTAGAAGTGATCTTTCACCATTTGAATACTATTCTTCTCGCAAAATAGTAAAAAAAAAAACTGCACGCGACGCCAACTAAGTTTCATTTATATAATTCTTCGTTTTCTATTGTATGTGTTTTTATTCTTCGTCTTCTACATATATATTTTTTGTGAAAATACTCCACTAGTTTATTGTTATATTTGATTCAAAGATCGAATAAACTCAAAGAAAAATTCCTTCTGTCCGGCTGGATTTGAACCAGCGACATTTTCGCCAAACGCGGTTTATCGCTCTCCCAACTGAGCTACGGAACGAGTCAGCAGACCTTACGAAATTCTCCATGTGCTTGCTGCAGATCCTTGTTTTTGGGTTACTGGCTTTTTTGCTGTAGCGTCACATGTGCGAAAACTACGAAAGTTGTTTTCTTCACCCGGACAGGTACTTTACCCCGTCTTCTGATTTCCTTCAATAAGAATTATTTCAATATTTTAAAATACGTAAATAAGAGCGTCATAATTATCTTGCCTTCATTGGGGCTGATTATAAGTATACTTTGTCATTGGTAACTTAGCCAGATACCTGTGCCGAGCATCGAACTGACAACGTTGAACTGCAAATTGCGCTTGTTACCAAGCGCTTGTTGTCGGATCACAAATTAAGAAACTGTCTAGCCACGAAACGGACGTATAATGTATAACGAAGAAATTTAAGACATTGATTGGCTTTATTATACGTACGGGAATGGAGCAATAGTCTCACCTTCTATTGGAGATTCTTTAGTTGTTCAAAGAATGTTGAGATATCTACTAATTAAGGGAATGCTATCGCAGATGACTCGTTAATAAAGATTGCAAGAGCTGAAGCCAAATAATATCAGGACAAAAGTTTACACACAGAGAATATTTCATAATTAATCATTTATAAGGGGTACAACAAAAATTATATTTATCTAATTTAATTGTGTATAGCAAACCTTCAATATAACAAACAGAATAATGATAACTAACATAGTAATAATTTTTATTATAATGGTCTTTCTTTATCAAATAAATGAAGTATTACGAAGTGGTGATGCCCTGACTTCCAAAGTTGCAGAGATAAAATAGCGCCGTGGCAGACAAAGTAAATATCCGTTTATTTTGGCAAATTGTCTTGTAATTGAGCAGAGTATTGTAGTTTTAAATATTCATCATCGTGTAATCGCTTCAGTGCATGTTCAATCAATAAGTTTGTAGAATTAAATTTGGAATCCTTATTTTATATAAATTTGGAATTATTATTAATACGTGTTTTAGAAAATGAAACTATTTTTCCGGATTTAAATCGCGTATATTTGTTTTTCAGGCCCTTTACAGGTCCCATGGTCACGGTTGACTCGTGTTTAGTTATAATCTTTAACGGCTTTGACAATTTTATCTCTCATTAATACACTGCATAGCTCAACCACATTGTGTTTGCATGCCTCATATTCCGAATTTATTCGAAAAAAATCTCATATTTTGGATTACAAAGACTATCCTCCTTTTTCGTTTCTCTAGATTCTGGGTTTTTAGGTATTTTGGAACATTTCTTATTTCCAGATTGGATTGTAGAGTACTTTGTTCAATAATTTATAATATAACAAAACTGTATATAATATAATTTCTAGTTTATTTTCCAAGGTAAGTATGTAGTTACGTTCAGTTCATCATCAGTTTTTCCATCTTGTTACGCATTTTTTCGTATTTGTATGATACAAACTCGTTTTATTTTGTTCCTTAATTTCTTGCATAGAACTTAGTAAGGATGTAAGTTTATTGTTTTGGTCTGTTTGCCAAGATTTGAACATTCGTTGCAAGTCCAGGTTAAGCGCAGAAAAATCACCTTCCCTTTAGCGCTTGAATCTAGTCAACACATCAGTGATACGGATATATTTGGTACCAAGTCATAGTGTTGCAACGGGGCCCTTGATGTGGGGAGGTGGACTATGTCGAAGCATGTGTTACTTATGCAGGCACGCAGTCGACAAAGTACCAGGAGATTATAAGATTAGCCCCCTTTACACAGACACTCTGACGCGCGTGATAGAGCATAAAGGATTGCGTGCGTGAGTACCTGCACGCGCACTCGTGCGCCATTATTCATTCATTCGCGTGCGAACATGTGTTCGTTTTTTTACAATGGAAAGAGTGTCCGTGCAAAGGCTAATAGCGCAGGATAGACCTCGTGAACCTGGCGCGTGTTGGAGTGCAGATTGCGCGCGCGACTGATGAGCACAATCCCGAAGTCTGCCCTTTTTCCTTCCAACGTCTTTACATGATTGATGTATCACGCGCGATAGAGTGTCTGTGTAAACTTCGCTATTGACAGGGTTTTGAAGATCGAGTTTAGCGTAGTTCCGGTTACGGGTCACGTAAATTGGTCAACGATCGATGATTTAGTATATAATCCTTTTCCATTAAACTACGTAAGAGCGCTCATAAGCAACGTACTCGTAGTTATTTATAGCTTTTTTCCTTTTGACTAATTGTGTTTGTTGTATATTATGTGCCTGTGTGACAGGGTTTAGAGCTATAATACGCTGCACACCGTTGTATGCTTAGGTGGGTGTACACAGTAAACTAGTCACACACATGACATTTGTGTGGGTGAGAAATCCCTCAGTTCGGCACGCGTGTGGTAACACCACACTTTCTGATTTTTTAACATTGACGGTGACATATTTTCGATGAAACAACATTTAAATTACAATAATAAAAATAACAATAGGTCAAGGACACGTCTGAACGTCACAGATCCGGGGGAAGAGAAGCATAAGCTTGCTAACTTTGCCTTTGCAAACATAAACGATGACTAGTTAGATTTTGACCTCGAAATGTTGCGAAATTTAAACAAGTATTTACTTCTTGTTAAAGTGATGTCAGGTTTAAATTTCGCA